GACTAACTAAAAATAACTATAATAAAATATAAGAAAAACTTAGAAAAAATATCAAATACTCAAAATAATAATAATAAGAAACTAGTATAAACTAATAAAATATAATAATAATAACTAAAAAAAAAGAAAGAAAAAGAAAATTCTATTACAATATAACTCTTAATTCTCTCAACATATCTTTCATCTCCCTTAACTTTCTCTACTTTTTCAACACAGCTTTCAACTCCCTCAACATAGTCTTCAACTCCCTCGAGCACATATTATATTACTCTCAACTTCCTCTTCTATTTTGTAAAAGGTATATAAAGAGAGTATAAATTCTTTCTTTGTTAATTAGATCTCAGATATCTTTCTTTTATAGAATTAGTCTAGTGAATTCTTTTTCTTGTAATATATAACTCTCTCTAGGATTTTTAGAAATGATTATTCTCTTGTTTTATAATAAATAAATATTAAAAATACACTATCCTAATACTGAACTATTTATTTTCTGCTATAGATACTTAAATATACTTTATATTTACCCGTGTATATTCTAATAGCATGATTCCTGCACTAGGTGATCTTGTTACTATGCTATGTGGTTACAAAAAGGCCATAGCATTATAACAACAGTAAATCTATCTATATTTCTATTGGCTAAATTTAAAAATTAAAAATCCCAATTTTAAATTTTTAAACTTGACTGGGTTATAAAAACCAAGAAATTAATTTTGCATGACCTTATTTTAAAAATATTGAAACTTTTTTAAATACTATATTTAATTTTAATTTTTAAAGCTTTTATACAAATAACAACTAATTCATTTATATTAATCTATAATATAAATAGGTATATAGAATTATTACAAAATTATTATACATAAAAATTAGCTATTTTAAACAAATTTATAAATAGTTAGCTTGGGGTAAAAATTAGAGTTTAATTAACTTAAAATAAGTTTTTATATATATTATAATTTTATAATAAATTATACTAAAATGCTAGCCTAAATTATAAAAAATTTTTGTTTAGTTGGTCTAAATTATGCATACTGATGAAATTATTTCAGGTTCTAAAACCCAAAATTAAAATTTAAAGATAAAATTAATTTGAATCTATTTTACTAGAAAGACAAAATTTTTTGACACTTTTTTTAAATAGACAAAATTATAAATAATATAAATATAAAATTTTAGATACTCTTCCTTATAAAAAATTTTAATTTGCTCTAATGAAGACGAAATAGGCTTTTTTCAAAAATCAATTTTGGTGGCATCTATAGTCCAAATTATAGCTTAATTTTATATTAGTAAATATACAGTTTTTTAAAATTTGGTCTATTTCTATAATATAGTACAATTTTTTTTAGAATTAGGGTTAGAACCCTTATTAGAGTTAGAGTTTAGAGGGTTTTATTTTTAATTAAATATTTTTCATATAGCTTTTATAACATTTTAGCATGATCCAAATTTCAGCATAATTCTCTATAATAATTTTATTTGCTTATCTATACAGTACTATAGAAAATTCTTAATTTATACATAATCTTTAAAAACTAATATTGAAAAATAATTTCAATAAATCAAAACTTTTAAAATATACAAATAATTTGTTTTTATAATCACATACTTGAAATATAAAACAGTGTTTTGTAATGAAGTGTAACAATTATAAGATTAAATTTATTATATTTTAATAATAAATTGTTTTTAAAAAATGAGTTAATAAAAAAATATATACTTATATAAAAAATAACTATAAAGAGGTTTGACTGTACACACTTTTTTACACTGTTTAAAAAATTACTACTTTAACTTTAATGTAACAAAAATTACAAATTAAATATAATTTTACTTGCAAAAGCAAAAACAAACCAATCTTATGAACTCTTTATTATTAATATCTAAAATTCAAGCGTTTATCCAAATATAATTTATCTTAACACTTTAAACTAAAATTAACTTATAAAATTTATTAAACAAATAAATTCAGGGTTAGGTATATAAAATTAGTTCCTTGATTTTTGTAGCCCAGGTGGTCTAAAATATTTTTTTAAAAAAATGATTATATATATTTTTAATAACCAAATAGATATTTTAAAAAAATTTATAAAAATTTTATATATAAATCCTTTTAAAAAAAGCTGGATGACCGAATCTGTTATAGAATTTTAACGCTATGGAAGCTGGGAAATTAACTTTGTAAAGCCTTAATATTAATTTATTTAGCAATTCCATAATCCCATTGTTTTTCTGGTAGTGAATCTTGAAGAGGTTCCCATCTATATAGTTGGAATGTTAGCCACACGATCGATTAGGTCATAATTCATATGTATTTAGACTAGATATAAACAATATAATATCCGTAAAAATGCTTACGGCTTCCATTCTTCCATCTTAGCAACCAACTTAAGCTCGTCTTCAGCCTGCAAAATAACTTCTTCAATTATACCTGCATCAATTTTATTTTCAATTTCTTGGACATTCTCAGTTGACTCAACAATTGAAAGCCTATGTTTTGTCAATGATTCAGTGGCATGACGGTACAAAGCATTTGAAGGTAGTTTTGTGAGTGCATTGAGGGTATTATTGTAAGTTTCGATTAGATGATGCCTTGGATTTGGATGAACAGCTAGACCGAAAATTCCAGTGGATGTCTAATAAATCAAAGCGTTTGAAATTAAGTTGAATGTCTATATAATTACGAAATCTAGGATTTGATGGCAAACCTTTTGCGTAGCGTTCAACAAATATCGTGTAATATGCATCTACTGTAATATATAATTCGGTATAAACACTGATTTTCTCGATAATTGTAGTTTTTATAGATTAGCAAACAGATCGTGTACTCACATGGTCCTTCAGTTAGCGATAGATGTTCAAACAATATCAGATGATAGACAATTACATAATAATAGCGATAGTGATTAGAGTTCGAAGAATAAAACTTTATCACCCCAAAAAATTTCAATAGCCAATCAAATTTCAAGTGTAACACAAAAGAAATGAAAAACAAAAAAATCGATCATAACTCAACATTTACCTCTGGGACTGCCTTTTGCACACTAAACTGTTTTCTTGCGAATTTTTGGTATTAATAAAGCTCTTTCTATCCTAATCTAATAATAAAACCTAGTCTTAATTTATAGTGTTTGTAGTCGATACTTATTTATCGACTTGACTAAGTCGATATTTAAAATTCGGAGTCGATTAATATTCAAATTTTTGTCGCGACCTCTCATATTTTATGTTTGTTGGTTTTCTTTTCGGAATGTTTCGGTTCTTATTCTTAGTACTATGTACTAAGAGAGGCAATGTATCGAATCTGATTGGTACTTTCTATAAGGATGTTAATCGGTCCCGCAGTAATTGTCAGCCGACTTTTAGAAAGATTTATAAAAAATTGGCATTTTTATAAAATAATTTTTCTGTAGCATTTTCTAATAGAAGTTTTTGCATTAGTTTTTCGAGTAATTTAGATGCGGGCCGATTAGAGACCGAACAGTGTGGAGAAAATTTAGCTAATCGGTCCTAATCGGTCCCATTTAAATTACAAAAACCGATTAACTTCTATTAGAAAATGTTACAGAAAATTATTTTTCTATGACTTTATTTATTGGACGAATACGTACGTACCCGGTTAAAAATGCCAATTTTATAAATCTTGCTCAAAGTCGGCTGACAATTACTGCGGGACCAATCAATATCCTAACTTTCTATAATCTAATATAAAATCGACTATGCGAAATCGACTACAAACACCATTATTTAATGGCAAAAATTTTAACGAAATTTTTTAGGTTGATAATGCCAAGGTTCTAAGAATAAAATTTGACCAGTTGAGATTAGAGCCAAAAATTAGTAAAAATATCTTGATCCATTGGATTAGCGGTAACTTCGTTTCCACTTATTCATATACGGTAAGGATTGGAATCGGTTTAGTCGACTAAAAAATTTTACTATGTTTAGTCGACTAATTAGTCGACTAAACATAGTAGTCAACTAAACCGATTCCAATCCCTATATATATGGATTAAGATATTATCCATTAATCTTTCCATGATCTGTAGTGATCGGGGGATTATATATATATTTAGTATATATATTAGTTATTCAACTAAAAGTCGACTAGCTGATTAAATACTTATATCTGTTTGAGTGTTGACTAGTCGTTTCGGTTATTATAATAAATCAAAAATAACAAAAGTAAAAAACGTCAGCATACTGTAAATTAAATAATGGTAACAAAATTGTATAACTATGCTTTAAATGATCCCTCAATTGGCTAATTTGGTTCTTATCTATATTTCCCCAATTGCTAATCTTAATCTTATTAGTGATAGGATTATAGCAATCTTAACCAAATTTATTCTTTACTTGGAACTAACTTTCCGCTTGTCACATGAAACATATATTTTTTTTATTAAATATATCATGTGATAGACAGCATAATAATTTCAATTGGAATATAACTGTTCGTTAGTAACAGTGACTCCCAAGAAAATCCTTTTTTTTTTTTGTACCTTTCATCGCCACGAAATATCTTCCTGGATTATCCGATATTGATAAGTAAATCTTTGCCATTTATGTAACCCGTTTTTTTTTATAAAGGGACCATAAATTTTCAAATTGTCACGAAAATTTTATACCCACAATAATTTAATGATGTATCCGCAAAACGTTGGCATCTTAGCCATAGAAATATATTTTCCCAAAAGGGTAAGTAATTTTCCAATAAGTAATTCTCTAACAAATAGATATTAAATGAATTCATTCAATTATTAATAACTTTGTAGTTTATCGACCAAGCAGAACTCGAACAATTTGATGGTGTATCCGCTGGTAAATATACCATCGGTTTGGGTCAGACCCAAATGGGATACTGTGATGACCGTGAAGGTACGTCCAATTTTAAGAATATTTTCACTATCATTTCTTTATTGGCATGATTAATTTAGATTTAATATTGTGAATTTTAGATGTAAATTCCATTGCAATGACTAGTAAGTATTACTTAATAGTTCATTACTTTTTGTAGCATTATTTGGAAAAAGTGGCAGCAAACCAATCTGTCACTAATCAAAAGTAGACATATACAAATATGTGAATTGTCTTGAAGCAATACTACATAGTTAAGTGATATTGTATTTGCTGCCATATGTCTGATCTTCCAAATTTCTGAAATATTAATGATACCAACACGATTAATAAGAGACTTGAGTGCAATTTGATGTTTGTTAGTGTGATCTTCAAGACAATTAGATGTATCGAAATCATTGACCTTTTTAAAAAGTTAAACATTAATATAAAACAACTATTTATACTAACAACAAATTCAACTTACTTCATCACAATTATTATATCTGTCAGGAGAGATTAATCTTGAATAATATTCAAAACAGATATTGATTTGAGCCTTTTGAATTCGAAAAATCTTATCTGTTAAAGCCAAATTAAGAAAATCAACTATATCTGGAAAAACACGAACTGCCGATAATGTTCCAATAATAAATGGTAAATTTTTTAAATAGTCACAATACTCAGCTTTTTGAAGCTCGGAAGATAACATATTTTGGATTCCATTAAAATAATTCATCAGTGTTGAGTGTGAGTTAACATATTTATGTATAATGCTATTAATGGATTCTACTCGTTAAGTAGAAGACATTCCGGTATTAAATTTCTAAAAAGATATGTCAATTGTAATCTAAATCTAATTCCATATTAACAAGATTATAGATTTAATTTTAATTACCTGAAAGATATAGATAGCACTTAGTTCATTTTTCTTTAATTGGGTATAAAGTATTCCTCAAATATGATGAAGCCTCTGAAAATTTAATACATAACGAATTGAATTGTAACTCAAAAATTTCTTCAAACAAGGTATTGCGACATATAAAAAAATCAATTTGAAATTCTGCAAATTGGGAACCAAGTGAACACATCAAATGTTTTTTGATATTTTGAACTACGTGAAATATGCAGTGTAAATGTCAAGTAGTTGGAAGTGTAATCTTAATTGCCGGTCCTAATCCAGTATCGCAGTCAGAGTATATTGTTAAAGGTGGTAAGTTGTTTGTAGCTGCAAGAAGATTTTTAAGAACCCATATATATAATGATGTTGTCTCATCAGACATTAGTGCTTAACCTACTAATCTTAAACAATGATGCTGATTAATACCAACAAATAAACATAATGCCATTCGGTATTTATTAGTTCATACAGTATTATCTGTCAAAATGACGTTGTGATATTTTAAATATAGGTTTTGTTGATGGGGAGTTATTCAAAATAAATGAAAGAGATGATTTTTAATATATTAATATGATATAAACCATATAGGATTATTTTCTTTTATTTTTTGTAATTCTTTTAGAAGGTTTAAAGTATCATTTTCGGGGTCTTGCTCTGGGTTTGCTATATCATTTCTTCGAAATTGTTGAATAGCATTTGCTAGATCTTTGTCCAAAAATAATTGTTCCTTGAATTCACCACTAAGAAGCTGCCTTAATGTATACTAATTAATATCATGAATTGTATCTACATAGAATTTAATCTTGTTCATTACATTCTGAGAAAGCTGTTGATAAACATTAGCAAAATGAATAGTGCTAGGACTGGGTACATAACCATGATGTTCAAGGTCCATTTTAGTTATAGTTGAATTTTGTGCCTTAAGTGGCCAACACATATTAACAAAGCAAGAACAACCCATCTTAATTGATTTCCTGTTATACTGTTGTGAAGAATCGATAGCTGTTTTTTTTGATTAAAAATTTCTAGCATGCCGGCATTTAAAAACATACTTATACACATCTCTATTTTTATCCAATTTTTTGTCTTGAATTCGCTACACAAACCCGGTTTGATGCCCATATGCCAACAATACCAAATACACATAGTCCCAGTGCTTAAATGTTATTCCAATACATAATTGTGATGCTTGTTCAAAAACAGCGTCAGGTATTGAAAGTGTTTCAAGTGATCTTCTTTTTGTTATTTCAGCACATGATTCCTGAACCTCTTTATGACTTTCAGTATTAGTATAAGACAAATTATCATTCTAATTACTTTCATAATCTTCATTATGACTTTCAGTATAAGACGAAACACTTTCTTGAAAATTATTATAAGCTTTATCATAACTTTCATCCTTATCATCTTGAACAACATAAGAGGCTTCTTCTCCATAATTTTTACTATAAGAATCCTGAACATATTGAAAGAATTCTGCAAATTCTTCATAATCATTAAAGCTATTGTCATTGATACTAAATTTATCTATTTTCGTAGATATTATATATAGAAGCCATTAAATCAAGTTCAAATAAAACAAGGTAAGAGACAATAGAATAGCTGTTGTAGTTATTAATTAAACACAAATAAAAAAATATCAGGTATATAGAATTAGTAAAACACGTTTAATATCACTAATGCAAAAAAAAAAAAAAAAACAATATATAAGTTTAAATATATCGGCTTAAATGTAATAATGCTATGCTCTATAGTGTTCTTTGCGACGTAAACTCTTCTTGTCAATTATTTCACGTGATAAGTGAACTGCTTATTTGGTAACAATATACAAGTAACAACGAAGATTAATGTCTAAATAGTGAACAATGATAAAACGAATATGATATAACAGATGGAATAGTGCAGTTATTGATGTGTGATTCAAAACTTGAAAATATGCAAAAATTAGATGAAGAAATATACTAATCAATGTAGAGGTAAATAGTTACAACATATGTTGGTTTGAAATATGAACTTATTATATTTGCTTTTTTTGAGATGAATTTAACTTTTTTTTTTGCGTTTACTATTTCATGAGACAACGCCAAACTGCCTTTATTGAATAATTTCGTACAAGAAATAGAAAAAAAATCGATCGTTGTTCTAATCAGTTCTTTTATTTATTTATTCATATTTTACAGATTAATTACATCATAAATAGTACCTACATATATTAACATTAAATAAACTTCGAAGTATAATAATAAGTATAATAAAACTATATGTACAATGTCAATCATACACTATAAAATATACAATGGAATGTTGTTTAACTGTAATAAATCTGTTAGGTTGTTGTTTTAATAAATCTGGTAAGATGATTTTTATAAAATCTCAACTTTTTATATTTCTCAAATATTTACTAATAATATATATCTTTAGGTTCTAAGTAAACTTGTTCAGCACAAAAAAATACATTATTCTGGCATGTATTTGTATCTTATATAAGTTTATTAGAGACTCAAAGTAATAATCAATTAGTAAAACTATATATACTATACATATTTAGGGAACTGATATTTTCATATTTTATTTTGATATTGCCACACCCTAATAATTATGAGTTTAAGTATTTATATAATTGCATAATAAATTTAATATTACTATATATAAATAATATTAATTAAATCACTAACTCTAATATCGAATTTGCACTATCTTTAACACTTTATATAGTGCTTTTAATTCGTTTATTTAAAATTGCAATATATAGTTTATAGCAATAAGCCGTAACTATTTTTATAGCATTCTATTAGGTATTAAATCTTAAAACTGACAGTTTCTATATACAGTAAGTAATATATCTTTAATAAATACAATGTAACTAGACAACAACTAAATTATAAAAACAACTATTTGAAGCAAATTATATATGCAAATGCAATCTCTTAGGTAAATAAACCTTTGTTCAATCTTTTGTTTTAAAAAAATCTTGATTATTTCAATAATTCTTCTATAAATGATCTTTATATACTAACTAAAAATTTCTTACCTAAATTATGCTTGTTGCTACTTCTATCTCTAATCTAATTGATACAACTTGTTCTAATTATTATAACACAAATTTGAATTATTAACTCTGTTATATAATAGACATATAAGCATTTTATGCTTATTATCAAGCCTTGATCTAACTTTTAACTATCGCTCATTAATATAAAGGCAAGATTAAATTACAGAAAATATAATTACAAACTCAGATACAATATTGTTAAAATTACAACATATGTGTAGTAATTTATTAGACTCACTAATATTAATATATTATTATTATTATATAATATAGTATTACTATATAGAACCTTAATATTATAAAATTCATACTATTGTAAGTTTTGCGATAGTAAAAAATATTTGTTCCTACAATTTTTTTAAAAAAGCAAATTAATAGTTACAATTCAATATAATGTTCACATTTGCTCCTTCTGTTAATAATTTTCCAAATCGTAAATCATTAATTGAATATGTAAAAGCATTATGTGCTTCTAATGGTTATGGAATAACCATTGCAAGATCAAAACGATATAAAGTATATTTGGGTTGTGACAGAGGATAGAAGTATAGAAATCAGTTAAACTTTATAGATAAAACATGCCAAAGAAATACTGGTTTCAGATTAATTAATTGTTCTTTTTCTATTTGTAGTACTAAAGAGAAAGATAATTCATAGACTTTATCTATTTATGATCCATCACATAATTATGATCCATCAGAGAATTTATTAGCACATCCATCTTGTCGAAAATTAAATAAGCAAGCACAAGAGCAATTAAGTGAAATATCAATGGCTAGAGTTCAATCTTGAGAAATATTATCTTCACTTTGACAGAATAATTCTTCAATTTTAGCAACTTCACGTAATATATATAATGCTCGTAAAAAGATTCATTTAGAAAACTTGCAAGGTTGCTCTCCTATTCAAGCACTTGTAGATAAGCTTGAAAAAAATCAATATATATATAACTATTAGCATGATATTGATGGATATATAACTCATCTTTTTTTTCTCATTATAAGTCAATTGAGTTAATATGTACCTATTCATCTGTATTACTTATGGATTGCACTTACAAAACTAATAAATTCCAAATACCTCTTCTTAATGTTGTTGGAATAACAGGTTCTAATTTAACATTTTTTGTATATTTTATTTTTCTTAAAGATAAAAAAGAAGA